AAAGTGAGTGTAGGTCAATGCTGGCCGAAACTAGACATGTACCTGTCTAGAGTTATATATTAAAGCTGTGGGACCCATGGGGTGGCGTCTGAAAACAGCTTGTTCCATACTCAATAGAAACGGTTAGCGGTTTTCAAGCCTAAGACATGACACCGACACACATCTCACCTCCTGTGAGCCTTAAAAATGCTTTCTACCTTCCAGCCCGCCTCTCTGTGCCTGTGACTCATCAATCACGCCTTCCATATTAATCCCGTAGCCGGTCCTTTTTTACTGACACTTTTAGATTCACTGCATGAACAGTCGGGTCCACTTTCTTTCTCGAGCCCTCGGTTTGCCACCTCAGCAGCTGATTTATTTTGTAATCTGTTTCATTATAAGTTATATCATTCTCAACAGTCAGCAACTTCTCAAATAAACTACACAACACCGATCGCAATTACAAGAAACATTAAAAGTCCTCTTACCAAGGGAGCCACTGAAAACGCATTAAAATCTTCCTCTGCACTTACATAAGAACTCTCTGCTGATTCACAGTCATCTGCCACAGACATTAGAAAATGAGACTTTGCATAACTCATTTTGTGCTGTATTTGAAACATCCTAGCTGTATGCCTACATAGAGTCCCAAAATGGGTGATAAAAGCCTATCGTTTCTGAAAAGAATACTTCAGCCATCCTCGCTCTATGCTGATTTATACATCTCTGCATGACATTATTTTCATCAGCTGCAGACAATGGCACATGCAAATCTGTGTGAAATAAATTTTGCACAAATATACTGTGCAGCACTTTAGCACATTTTCTTTTGAAATAAAATTAAAAGATTGTCTTCTCTGTAGCTTGGACTTCAAAAGTCTACAAAAGTATAAGTGCTCAGCATATTTAAGTACACCCCATTTTGAAAATTAATATTTGTATCAATTTCTCAGTAAATATAGGTCATGTATTTTGGTGCATTTAAACAAAACAGATTTATTAAACAGATATTTTTATTAAAATAATATTTTAGTCACCAAACATATTTAGAAATTGAAAGATAATACAATTTAATTCAAGCAAAATATTGCAAAATTTCAGCTTTATTTTTACTTTTTTTTGTGCTTCTTTTGATTTTTTCTCTTTTTAAATTTTGTATTTAATATTTTCTATAACATATAAATTTGGGTGGACTAGTTTTTGAGCCATTATCTTTAAGTTATTTTGTTAGATAAGCTCCAGATTTTGGCTTCAGTATCGACTAATCTAATGTATATGAAAAATATAATATTGTACAGCTTCATATTAAAATAGAAAATTAAAGACAGATTTGTGAGGGGTGTACTTGTATATGCTGAGCACTGTACAACAACATAATATAAATATATATATATATCTATATCACCCTCGTAGCAGTGCGATATGGCTGTATATCGGCACTGGTGGGAGGCGTGCATTTGCACGAGGCGGCAGGCCACACAAATACACTGACAGTTATAGGTACTGTACATTATATTATATATATATATATATATATATATATATATATATATATATATATATATATATATATATATATATATATATATATATATATATTATACTGTACATTGTTATGGGTTAAGGATGCACAAATTCATCATTTTCCTCTTTCTGGCTATTCTTTCATTGAATGATTTGTGTAAAAATGTGTGAAAACAGTATCTAAGGAGAACGGGGCTTAGTATAGGGTCAATTGTTAATATGTAAAAATACTTTTCTTATTTAAGTGAATTTTGCAAATTAGGTCCTCTTAAGGCAGGGGTGTCCAACCTCAGTCCTGGAAGGCCAGTGTCCTACTGAGTTTAGGTCCAACTTGCTTCAACACACCTGCTAGGAAGTTTTTAGTATGTCTAGTAAAGCCGTGATTACACTGAACTTTTCTCCCTATAGACCTCTGTTGATACGAACGTGAATGCGTCAGACCAGAAACGCAAGCCTGTGTGACAAATTTCGCCGATCGCTGCATTGGAAAGTTCAAGCTTGGTAAACTCTCAGCTGTAATCATCTTGTGGTTGCATGAGACCAATCGAAGATCAAAATATGACCTCTATGGACAGAAATTTAAAACATGGACCAATCATTTGCTTTTTTTAATGTCTAATCTGGCCCCTTTTCCCAGCGCCATATGACAGAATTCGCATGCTCAAATTCTAATGTGACCATGGTATAAGAGCTTGATTAGCTAGTTTAGGTATGTTCCAGTACACCGACCCTCCATGGCTGAGTTTGGACACCCCTGCCTTAAGGGGTTTGAATTGTTCAAGCTACGCAATGAAGCTAATAGAGATTTTCTGACGGTTTTTTGAAGCCAAACTGAAAGGCAAAGACCAGCATTTGATTTTAAAAAGGTGAAATTGAATTGTTTATAAATCCCTTTGATTGACATTTCTCGCTCCTCCAAATTTTATTTCCCCAGTGGCTCTCGCTGGTTGGGATTCTATGAATAGCTGTAACCTTGAGCTACTTATTAGAGCTGATTGAAGAATCCTCCGCCGCAGCTTTGTGGATGTCTGAACATTAGCATTCTGCTGAGCACATTTAGCAGATGTTCTGTGAGCGATTACCAGACTCATGAATCTGCCTAATGATTGACAGGAACAGTAGAGTGTTTAATTGGTGCAAGTGAGTTTTTCTGCTGAGAAGTTTGTCTGGTCTGGTTTAGTTGATTACAGCATCAGTACGGTCAGTAACCATAGTGATCTTTGGCTATTCTCCCTTGAGGAAACAATGTGTCACTGTAATCATCTCAGACAAATGTCATGTGAGATTAGAGTCTCTGACGGTGACATTGGCGGTTTTGTTCCACCGCAGCACAGAGAGGAAATAACGGCTTGCTAACACCTTTCTCATTACCTCCGCCAGTGGAGATGGAGCCGTTTAAATGGGAGCTTCACACCGAGAAGTGTTTGTGATTGTTAGTGGCACCCCTGGGTCAATCCTCTCTCTAGCAGCGGTGACTCATCTCCTTCTCTCCATTTCTCTCTTTGGCTCTGCAGGAGAAGAAGGGTCAGGAGCTTCCGAAGGGGCCGGAGGTGGAGATAGCGAAGATGGAGCAACTCTTGAGCTCGCTGAGATAGCCTGGGTACAGACAGCAGACTGAGGCACAGTAAGACCAGGACCACTGCACAAATTCACTAAAAATAGTCAGTCAAATAAACAGTATTCATCGTGGCCTGTATTTTAAAAGGATAGTTCACCATAAAATTAAATCCCTGCCATCATTGGCCCTGTTTCCATCCAAAAATGCTAATTAATTCATGCACAAAACTGGAATATCGCTTAAAAACATGTGAATAAAGCAGCGTTGTCATCCAGCCAGTCAAAGAGAAACAAAATTGTCACTTCCTGATTAACTGGCGCCAAATATCAACAGTAAAAGCAGAATTTGCTGCAGTAGGAGAAGCTGCATGAATCTTTTCTTTATTTAATAAATGACTGGCATCTCAGAAGAAGATGCCAACATGCAATGAACACATTTGAAGGCGTGAAACACGGAGCACAGACTCTCTTGACAGTCCTGGATGTAATTAATAATAAAATAACACTAATACTAAAATGGTTTAGGCGTTTTAGAATGACCAAAACAACATTTCAGATGTTTTACAGGGTGTTCAGCCTGCTGGCTTGTCCATTCACACACATTTTTATCACCTCATAATCTCTTAAAACAAAATCACATGACCTTTTTAATGCGGTACTGGAATTTGTTTGGTAAAAATGTTTCCATCATAGTTTATTTGCATATTTTCTAATCAAATAAAAAGTTGTGCAAGTTATGCAAATACATTTTTTTATGTGCATTTTCAAAATTGATGCGCATCTTGGCATTTCCATCCACCGCTTTTATGTGCATATCCAATATGGGCATAAAAATAGGTGAATGGAAACAGCTACTTACTCATCCTCGACTTGTTCCAAACCATTTTGAGTTTTGTTTTTCTTTTTACAGTTTTTGTGGTTACAGGTTTACAACATTCTTCCAGATAGAGTATGTCCTTTTGTAATAAACAGAACAAAAATGAATCACAAGCTGGTCAAGGGTGAGTTAATGATGACAAAATTATTATTTTTGTGTGAACTATCCCTTTAAATGAATTGTCTGAATTGTGAGAGTAGCCAAAAATGCCTATAAAGTCGATCCAAATTGTATTATACATTTAAAAAGGACCAAGATGTTGGTGCTGATAGCCTTGTGGGCAATGCTTTGACATGTGGCGCTATTGTGCTTGAGACATCACAAGTTTAAGTCCTGGCTCATAGATCTTTCCCAATCACCCCTCCCTCTCTCCAGTTTCACTTGCTGTCTACATTCTGTCCTATCACAATAAAGGAAAATTGGAAGAAGAAAAAAAAAGACCAAGACTTGGTATGGATATTTCAATATATTTATTAATCATCTACCATTTAATGTCCTCTGATGTTCTTAGGGAAAGATGCTAGCATGTTAGTAGTTGACTGATCCCTCTGGCCTGTTGCATATGCAAACCAGCACAATAAAACATGCATTTCATATTTAAATTCCTCCTTCAGAAACAAAGCAGCACAATTGTGCTCTTATTAAAATTTCATTCCTGCACTTGAGCTTTTATTTGTTTGTGCATGCTAATTAGCATAGCGCTGATTACTAGTTGGTTAGCTGCAGGTGTGGGGTTTCACCAATGCTGTCATGGCACTACTCAATGACTGTGAAGAGGGCATGGAGAGTCTCTTTACCTTTACATAAAACACTCAGGCAGAGTGGTACAGTACAAGAGAGCTCAGGTAGAGTCCCGGCAGCCCACGCTGAGCCAACTCTCTCCTCATCCTCTGGTTATTTTATACATGCCGCCCCAATTACACGGGCTCTATGAATAGCAAAGACACGTCTATCAAATCATGTTTTCAAAACAATACTAATTCATGACAAACCAGCTCGTCTAATCCACAGTGGATGATTATACACAATGTAAACACATTCTGTTTCCAGTTTTTTTCTTTCCTTCATGCCGTCAGCAAGTACCTCTGCTCATTGCTCTGCTGTGCGTTCTCTAAAGTCAACACCGGGACGCTCTCCTGGCTGGAGGGAACCTTGCATGCTTTGCAGAGGATTAATATGAGAACTAGTATGAGCAGAGCTACCAGGATGTTGCACACTATTGCCACCACTGCAGCAGTGGACAGTCCGGTGGCAGAGACGGTGTCTTCATGGTCACATAGCTGCATCGCTGACACAGAGACAGCCACCCTCAGATCAGCTGTCACACACTGTTCTGATCTGTGACCTGTGAAGCTCAGCTTGTTGTTGTCACCATCAGTCTGCTGTCATTATTAGTCTCCCAGGGGTCCTGCTGATCGGCTGATCCTGTGTGAACAAGTGTGTCCTGCTTTTCACATCTCTTATGTTCACACATCAAGGACGCGCTGTGCTTCAGAAGACTTTGAAACTGTTCTGAAGATGGATTAAGAGTGAAGCCTGAACAGTTTGAACAGCTCTTACTTTTAACAACTGTTCAACATAGCTTTCATTCCCTTGTGGACTTTTTTTTCTGTTGCTATTTCCCTGGTTTTTGTTCTGAGAAGTCGGTGACAATGGACAGCAGGGTGTTTTTCTTGTGGATGGGGGCTTCAATTTTGTCACTGGCATTCATCTTAGGCTGTCTTTCCTATCTGAAAGAGAGAACAAGGACATTAAAACAGGTATCACAATACTGTATTTCATAAAACTCGCAGGATAAAAGTGCTTCATCTGCCAAACGCACACACGCACTGAAGTCCTCAGCTTTTTGATTTTGGTCCAGGTTTCTATTAGAGGTGGTATTATTCACAAAGGAGTCAGTGGTGCGAGAAAGAAACTGCCTAAAAATCTCATTCCTATCCTGGTGTGCTCAATGAAGCCTTCACAAGCCTCTGCCTGGTTACTGTCTGTCTCTGAAACTCCCGTCTGAATGCACAATGGATTTAGAATCGCATGCAGACACACACACACTCACACACACACGCACACAAAGAATACATGCTCATGCTCTACTTGAAAAACTCATTCTCAAGTCAGTCCTGGTGAAATAACAAATAACATATGAGAGGATGCGTTGAGCCTGGAAATCATTTCTCTTCTGTGCTGCTGATACATTGAAGTGGGAAGTCCTAGCAGGCCCACTCCTCCACAGTTCAGCTGTGTAGAGATGTAGGGGATCTACAAATCCGAATATGAGAGAACTTTTATTTTGAAATTTGACATGGGCGCCGCCATTACTTTCTCCGGTTAGTGTGTGGGTGACGATCTCATTCAGGCAGAGAGAGGGAGGAGAGAAAGGCGAGTTGTGACAGCAGTGGTGAGCTAATGAAGATTGTGCAGTTTTAAAACTTTTTGATCAACTTAAGAAGTTAACTGATGACATGAAACAAAGCTAGATTACATTGCTTCAAAGTCTCGTTGCTTTTAAGTCTCCGTATAGTTTAATGAGCCAGTTATTAACAGTGACGCAGCAAGTTTTTTTTGCCGCGCTCGTGAGTGACGCGGGATAATAGGCCTGCTGTTAAAGTCAGTCGGATTATTCAGTGCTGAAGTTGAATACTCCCGTGTTTTTTTGTAATTTACATCCAGATTTTTGTTAGTTCAAACGAACTCAAAACGTAGTGGATGCTGTGTTATTTTTGCGAGGATTTTTGCGTTGGAAAGCATCGTGTGTTCATTGTTTGCTCTGATTGATCGCCGTTGGACGGGATTGTGGCCTTGTTGGATCGTGCTGTGCTTTCAGGATCACGAGGGCAATCGTTGGGGATCAAAGAGTTGAAGGAACATTACCCTGCCTTTCCAGACTCCTTTCAGCGCTCCGTTCTGGACCCAAGAGTGGTGATGTACAATATTGAGTTCACTTTTCCCTGAATATTGGTAAGACATCTTTTCTTTTTACCATATCGAAACAGAACTGTGCTTTAAAGGAACTCTCGATCGAAAAACTGGAAATTGTGCGTTTTTCCACAAAGAGACTTATTTGTTTACCGGTCTATGGACATTTTCACTCGTGAATGGACTGAGTATATTTTTCCTGAATTTTGAAAGTGAACTCTAACTTGATTTGAACTCATTTGATTAATACTGATTGTGAATGTGAATTTTGTCATTGTTTAAGGTGTGACTGAAACACTAGCACATTGATTCTATTTCCTTTATTACTGTCCATATTTCATTTTACTTTGAGCTGATTGAGTTTAAGACAATTTAATTTTATGTGAAGAAACATAAGAAAAGAAAACTCATTCAATTAGTCTCATAAGACTAATACTTTTTGTTTAAATAAATATTTGTTTGTTTAGTTACATTGAGTTAACTGAAGTCCTTTATACTAAGGAGTGGGGCCGTCTCATCTATCCTGTTAGATCTGGGAGGGTGGGTTTTTCTGAGTTTTTACACACTCACATACACACTTCAGGCTACCACCGTGATAAAGATAGATCCTGAAGCCCACCTCACTTTATCTGTACCTCCATATAGCAACACGATAGACGCTCACATATAACCACTAGTTATACTGAGACCTAAAGCATTGGGTGGGGGGACTAAGATCCTGTTGCTCACTCAGTCTTCCTTAGTGTAAAGTATATTATTTGCCCCACAAGGCGGTGGCATATTCCCCTCCGCCACATATTGGCGTCACGAACAGGATCAATTCCTGACTCTTAATTCAGTATAAGTTTGTAGTCTTTGAGCCGACGCTATGGCTGAGCTAGAAGAATTAAAGAAACAGTTTGAAGAAATACAAAGGCGGTTCGGTGAGCAGTCTGGCATGTTAGAGCAAGCCAGAGCCGAACAGAGAGAGGCACTTTCTCTTGCTAAAATTGTTATTGAACAACAAGCTGCTGCTCAAAAAGCACCATCTACTGTGTACATCCCAAGAGATCGTAAACTTCCAGAGTTCAGTGGATGTCGTTCTAAGCCTGGCGAGTTGAGCATAGAAGAATGGATAAGTTCAATGAAGTCCGCCTTCAAGGTGATGAAAATTCCTGAAGAAGACAGAATTGAGTTTGTTAAGCAGTGTTTAAAAGATGAAGCAAAGATGACAGTCAAGTTTATGCTGAACGGAAAGGAGAAGTCAGTGGATGAGATTTTTGATGCTTTGGATCAGACTTATGGGGACAAACTTCCCATTGGCAGCAGGCTGAAAGATTTTTATGACCGCAAACAAATGCCTGGAGAAACCATTCGTTCGTATGCATACGATTTGCAAGAGAAATTGAGTATAATTCAGAGCAGAGACCCAGCTAGAATTCCTGATGCTGATGGTGTATTGAAGGAACAGCTCGTGCTAGGCCTCAAAGATGATTCACTACGACGTGAAATGAAAAGGAGAGTAAAGGCTGAGAAAGATTTGACATTCATTCAGCTTATGCGAGAAGCTATAACGTGGTCAGAAGAAGAGGAAGTTCAAATTCCAAGTAATCTGAGACCCAGTACTCGTTCACGTGGTGTTGTTCATGCTACCTCTGCGACAGAGAGCTCTTCAGTCCCTCTCACCCTAGAGTCACTCCATGAAGCTGTTCAACAAATTGCTGCCCGACAGGAAGAATTGTTTCAGATAGTCAATAGTAAAGAAAAAGTGAAACCTCTTGTAAAAGAGAACAAGATGAAAAGTGCACCTTTAAAAGATAGTGAAGGGAGATACATCTGTTATACCTGTGGTAAGCCAGGACACACAAGCCGACGTTGTCTTCAGAACAAAGAAAACTCTAAAACTCAGACAGTAGAGAGGGAAAAGACAGCAGACCGAGACACTTTAGTGCTAGAGAGCCCAGGCCCATCTGTCATTCGTAGTCATACTGCAGACTGTGATACAAAGAATGTTTCCAAGTCTCTTTGTGAGAGTGCTTTTGGAGACTGTCTGACAATTGAAGTGAAAATTGCGGGTATAAGTACCATTTGTCTCTTGGATACAGGATCAGAAGTCACTACTATCACTGAGTCGCATTTTAAGGATCACTTTGGAGAAGCTGTGTTGTCTTCTGCCAACTGGGTTCGTCTCACAGCAGCAAACGGCCTGGACATTCCCATCATAGGTTGTCTAGAAGCAGACATAGAGTGTATGGGGAAGAAGTTACATGGAAAGTGTGTGTTTGTAATCAAAGAGACTGAAACCCACGGAACAGAGTTGAATAGATTACCTGGCATTGTTGGGATGAATGTGTTGAGTGAACTTAAAGATCTGTTCATGACTACTGGAGACGTGAAGAAGATGAACAGATATAGTTGTGGCTTTAAGGAGGCAAGGGTCCAACGAGTGTTAGCTAACATCAAGATGCAGACAGAGACATTAAGCTGCAACGATAAGATTGGCTTCGTAAAAGTTGCTGGCAAGCAAGCAGTTACTATCCCTCCATTCAGTGAACGTGTTTTGGAAGGCCGCTGTAGAATACCACCAAAAGTAAGCTGTCAAGTGTTGGTGGAGGCCTCTTCAAATGTCAGCTTGCCTAAAAGTGTACTGATCGCTAATGTGCTCGCCAAATCAGCTGATGGTAAAGTTCCAGTCAGAGTCCTGAATTCTAGCGAAAAACCTGTAAAATTACCACCACGATGTAGAATCGCTGCACTGTCTAAGCCACAAGAAGTTGTGCAAAAAGAGCTTGTTGAGTTTGAGGAGAAGGAAGGTACGTTGCATGTTAAAGCTGTACAGAAACATCAGGTGGATGTGGATATAAGCACCAGAGAGCAACTGCCAGTTCCAGTGCAAATGAATTTAGAGAATCTCACCGAAAGTCAACGTTGCACACTACAGGAACTACTGGTCAAGCACAGTGATGTGTTTTCAAAGAACGATTGTGACTTTGGTTATACAACTGCCGTTACACACAATGTACCGACAGGAGATGCTCCTCCTATTAAGCAAAGACATCGCAGAATACCACCTCAAGTGTTTCAGGAAGTGAAAAAACATGTTCAGGATTTGGTTTCTCAAGGTATTCTCAGAGAAAGCTGTAGTCCGTGGGCATCGCCAGCTGTGATTGTAATTAAGAAAGATGGTAGCGTACGCTTTTGTTGCGACTACAGAAGATTAAATAAAGTGACTTGCAAAGATGCTTATCCACTCCCTCGTGTGGAGGAATCACTGGATGCTTTAGGTAATGCACAGCTGTTCTCCACCCTTGATCTTACCTCTGGGTATTTCCAAGTTGCGATGAATGAGGAGGATAGAGCAAAGACGGCGGTAACAACTCCTTTCGGATTGTTTGAATGGACCAGGATGCCATTCGGACTCTGTAATGCTCCTGCGACGTTCCAACGTCTGATGGGGGTGGTGCTCGGAGATCTAACTTTTGACATACTGCTCATCTACCTGGATGACATTATTGTTTTTTCAAGAGACTTTGAAAGTCATTGTCAGAGACTGGAAATAGTGTTCAACCGATTGAGAGAGCATGGTTTGAAACTAAAACCCAGCAAGTGCTTCCTTTTGAAACCCGAAGTGAAATTCTTGGGTCATCTAATATCCTCCCAAGGAATAAAGGTGGATGGAGAGAAAACTCAAGTGTTGGAGACATGGCCTGCACCCACAAATGTCAAAGAGTTAAGACAGGTCCTTGGATTTATGAGTTATTACAGGAGATTTGTTCCTTGTTTTGCTCAGTTAGCCCGGCCTCTTCATGCTCTGGTGGGTAAAGGAGGAAAAGGGAAA